CGAATGATATTTTTCTTCTGGCGGCTTTGTTTTGCGGCTCATATACTGGACCGGGTGGAACTATTGGTCGTCAGCATCTTTTTGTTTTATTGAACCATCTTCAATGATGTACCCCAGGAACTCCACTTTTCTCCTCAGAAACTGACACTTACTCCAATCGATTCGTAGACCACTCGCCGCTGCTGTTTTCAACACTTGTCCTAACTTTTGAATGCCTTCAAATTCCTCCTTGGAGGGTATCGTCAGGTCATCCATATAAGCTACTACCGTTCCGGCATGTATTAAATCTTTCAATATGGCAGCAACAAATCTTGAGAATATGGCTGGTGAGTTCAAAATGCCGAAGGGCACGTATCGGAACTCGTATTGGCCGTTGTGAGTCACGAATGAGGTCTATTTCCTCGAATCCGGTGCTACGGGTACGTGAAAGGAACCATTTGTGAGATATATTGTTGTGAACACTTTGGATCCCTGTAGCTGCTCGATGACATCGTCCATCATCGGCATCGGGAAGTTATCTCGCAAAATCTTATCATTTAAACGCCGATAGTCGCAACAAAGACGTTTGCTTCGACGGGTGATGCGTAATCTGAATAACTCGGTTGGATGATGCCAGCCACTCAGCTATCTGCTTCTCCACTACACATCGGTCGGCGTAACACATCCGTCTCGGCCTCTCGTATACCGGATATTCGCCGGTTAAAACGATTTTCATTTCCACACGCGCACTGTAGTCGAAGAAGCTATGTTTTACGCGAAAAATTAGAAGGGCTGTTACGATTATAATAAAAATGCATCCTCGTAGTATTTTTGTTATGCTAAATCTGGATATGCTATACAATTTTTAGTTTTACAGTTGACAGCTTTCAAATCAACAGCTAATTTCTCTAAAAATAAGAAAATCTTTTTGAAAATACCACTTATTAGGTTTTTAGGCACGCTAGTCACGAATTTTATGTCAAATTAAAAGTTTGACAGTCGACAGCTGTCAAACGGACTGCCACTTTTATTAAAAATCAGAGAATCATTTAAAAACGTTACTGATAAGGATTTTAAATATGCTGATCACGAATTTTACGTCACGAGGAAACCGTGGAGCATATAATTTGCGAGTGTCCAGCCGTCAGCAGGTAAAACTCGCGTTACTCGGCAAGATACAGCTGCACAGTCTACAAGCAGCGATCAATAAGGGAGCAAAGTGTCTATTGAAATTCGCTAAAGTTACGGCAGTGTTTTTTAACATTGCGTGAAAGCATTGATTCAAAGGTCGTAAACGCATCTGCCAACGCTATGGATGTTATATTCGTCTATGTGAGACCTCTTATGGTCAGCCAGCTTAACCGAATCTAACCTAATATTCGGTTTCAGCCGAAATTCCAGCCTCGGTCGGACACTAATACGTGTACTGCGGTAGCGCGCACACCACCGACCAAGTTAACGCTTCGCGTTTCAAATTTTTTCTGTCCTTCTTAGTCAGTGTTGCCACTCACTGCATTAATTTTGTAGCCAAAAATGTAGCAAATCTTACTGAAATGTAGCCGAATTTTTCTGAAGCTTGCAGTTTTATTTAGAGAATACCGCTTGGTATTATTTGTTTATTAATCAACAATGTTGGTTTGTCAGATATGAAAAATATCTACATTAGTCAGTCCATTTTTTTGAGTGTATAATATAATAGTACCAGGTTGATCGAGCTTTGCTCGGAATGCATATGGTTTTTAAAGTTTTCAAGGTTTGGGTATCAAATACTGGTCAATTAGTTGCCTTAAAAAAAAAAAAAATCGGAAAATATTGGATTTTGATATGTATTAATTAAGTAAATGAATGAATTGTACATATCTTGTGCGTATATGTACTGTATATAAGAGCTGTGTAAAATCATTTTAAACTTTATATCAACAATTTTTTTCTATTCTTATTCCTCGCTGAAGATCATGGTACTGTAATTACAGGTATTGTATTCCCAGAGAGCACATACTCCGATCTGCCTTATTTGAAAAACATCATTGTTGCCCACATTAAAAGGTTTACTGCTAGGGAAAGGGGATATTTCCATACCCCATATACCATGTACCATACTATGTACACGTATTTTTTTAAACCAACCTTCTTGCATAGGACTTATTTAATTCGCAAAAGCCGAAAAAAAACATTTGCTTAATAAAGAAATTCAAAATTCAAACGTTATTTTTTTTTGTTTTGAAAAATTATAAAAATTAAATTGAGCGAAAACAAAAAGCAAAGCCAAATAAAGGGAAAAGAATCAACATTGAACTGCGTCAAAATGAAAATAAGGGAGCACGAATTTCGATGTGAAGCAAAACTCTCTAGGAAGGCAATACCCGTAATTATTGTACCATGGCTTAAGATTGAGGCTTATAATTTTTAAATTGTCCATTCATTACAGCAGTTATGAATTCACATATCAACATATTCATCGCAAGATTGAAAAACCCAATGCCGAATCAAAAAATGTTTAACACTGAATGAGTATTTAAAAAGCTGCGATCTTTTATGTGTGTGCATTCAATAATTCAGTACCAACAGAACCGTGGTAGTGAAGAAACACACATGATACAAAAAAGAAGGTAGTTTCAATAAACCACTTATTTTTTATTAAAAAGCAGATTTTTGACAATTGCTCAATTCTAAAAATTCGAAGCGGCTTTACCCAATTTAAGTTGAATTAACATTTACTTTTTAAAAATAATTCATATCTTACTTTAAAAATATTTAAATTTTACATTAAATTCGATAACCACTCCGCAAAAACTTTATATTTAGGATAATAAAATTTTAGTGAACATATTTTAAAAATGTGTAGTGCCCTTATGTCAACCAAACAAACGCAAAAAAGATCTACGTGTTGAAAAGTATATAATTACTTGTTTGAGTGGATGCTGATGAATTTTGGTTTAGTTACAAAACGCCTGAAAAGGTATTAGCCGTTAATTTACGTTTAAAAATTTCAAGACTTTAACGTATTACGACGCTTAATACATCTTGTGAATACTCCATATGTCTTTGACCATTTAACTATATCGTTGTTTATTTGGGTAAAATTAAAAGACATATATGTATTTTACTGTTCAATATTGGAGTTGATGTGAAACAAAAATTAATAATTTTTTGTTAGTATGCAAATGAGAAATACAATTATCAACTAATTGAGAATCTCTCTTTCAAAAGCAAAGGACATTTCGCTTGTTCAAATTTCGATTGTAAGAAGAAAATGTTTTTCAAACAAAAAGTTTATAAAAAAATTTTAAGGATTTTAGA